ACCCGTACAGATGCGTCAGAAGGAACTGCCTTTTCCGGTCCTCCCGGTCGATATCGGACCTCACCCACCAATTGCAGAATTTTGCATGCGGTCACTTTGTTGATCCCTTTGTCAACCAAATCTTCCACAAAGATGAACTCTTGCAAGTCCGACACATTGGTCACACCAAGCGTAATCATCACCTCACTTACATGAGGGGTATACACCCACAGGTGTGCGTTGCGAGCCATCCAATTTTCAATTGGCTCCTCCGGATTTTGAAGCTGAGTACCAGTGGATGCAGCCACGGAATTCTTTTGTTCATCAGCTTCTGCTTCATCCAGAGTACCTTTTTCACCATCTTTTTGTGACACATTGGTCATTTGCAGTGCTTTCGGTGCCGAGGATGAGGAAGATTCAGCTCCCCCACTTGCAGGTGGCTGAAATGTGCTTCTATCCGTAATCTCCCATCCTCTCTCTTTTTCAAACCGGACCTGATTGGCCACCTGTACCAAGTGTTTCAGGAGCGACAACCGCTCCTCTGACATCTCGTCATGGGAGTACTTGCAGAAATTTAACCCTTTCCGGCAACGTCCTCGGAGGTAATAATCGAAACAGCAATTGTGGAACCCTGCGTCCCTTAGTGACTTCCTGGAAGCATTGTCCCAAGATTTGCCGGGCTCCCAAGTCCCTTCCAATGCTATGTCATCGTTGTGAAGGTACCTGCATGCAGTCCCATATTTACAACCACCTTGATTGTAATACAGACACAGCCGACCTTTTGGCTCACCTGACGTAGGCTCACCCTTTGATGCACCTTTGCCAAAATTGTACTTGGCCCGGAAGGCTAAATCCTCCCGCTCCTGCTGTGCCTCATCCACTGTACCTTCCTCCCACATGTTCCCATCCTCATCATCAGCTTCTTGGCTATTCTTTGGATCAGTTGACCCTCCTCCTGGCCAACCTTCACCATAACGACGATGCTCATAGGAACACTCATCACCATTGCGACACCTTCCCCGATTGAAGAACTTGCACAGCTTGCTGTAACCAGGTGACAACACAGTCTTTGGTGTCATGTAAGCCTTTTTGTACTGGTCAGGGTCCATGTAGGCTTCCATTGGCTTGTTCTCCCTTTTGCTCATGGATTGCACTGCACCATCAAGCTCCTGCAAAAATAGCTTGGTGTCCAACCAAAGCGCGTTCCAAAACTCATCTTCCCCTTGATTCAGCACCGTTGCCACCGCTTCACCCACAACTGGTCGAGAAAATCTCCTTTTTTTGCATGCCAGTTCGAAAAGCGCGTTGTGGTACTGTTTTCGGGAAAAAGTGGTTAACTCCCCCAAGCCTGTGCTTTCTGTACCATCAGGCTTCCAACCACCATTTTGCAAGATGCCATACGCGCGCCGAGCTTCCGCATTGAGGAATGCCTGATCTGCAACACACTCCTGTAAATCTTCCATCGGGCGACCCAACAGCATCCCTGTAATTTTGCCAACATAGGCTTCCTCTTCGTTTCCATTCTCCAGAAGAGCTTTGTAGATCTTTTCTCCATAAAGTTGTCTTTCTTCTCGTTCTTCAGAGGATAACTCCTGTACCACAAGCTCCTCATCGGATTGCTCTTCCTCCTGTTTCCAGTCCCATTGACCGTTGGAATCTCGGTACCACTGACCAACATACCATGGATTCGTCCACCACGTACTCCAGCCGCTGGGTTTCCACTTCCGCAGCGTTGAGGAAGAGTCCTCCCCGTCCTCTTCCAAAACCAGAAAGGTGTCCAAGATTATGGTACCATCATCTTCCACTAGTTTCACTGTTCCATTGACAGTATCACCAAATCTGAAATGGCACGTATTGTTCCCTTCTGCAGGAATCAATACATTCAAATCACCATGGTCCAAAAAGGCTCCATACCCATTGATGCAGCGCACTAGACCTATGATCTCATCTCCCTCTTGATAGCAATGTGTCCCAGGTGATTCCAAGGCTCCCGCTCGGGGCACTTTCTTTGCGTGCTCTTCAGAAACCACCTCTGTATCATCGGCTCCTGGCGCATCCTTTGTTTTCACCTTTGAGTCACACTGCTCGTCCTGCTCCACGAGTCCCACAAGCTCATCTTTTTTGTGCTCCTGGACTTCAGGACCTCTCTTTTTCTCCGCCAAAGGCTTTGCCTCATCTGCTGTAATTCGCTCGGTGTCGACTTCCGGCGAACTTCCAGACGGCAACACTTCTCCCTTCATGGGAGTGGACCCATCATTGGAGTCCTTTGTCACACCTTCTGCAGCAGGCAAATCTTCCTCCACTGCAGGGCAATTGAGTCGATCATCCACGGCAGGCACGCTTTCTTCCACCGCAGGATCCTTTGGTTCCATGGCTTCCAAAGGAGAATTTCCACCATCATTGACCACAGCTGCCTCATTGGCTCCGGTGTAGCCCTTGTCATTTCGTTCCTCGCTGCTAACTTCAGGTTGCACCAGTGCGTCCACCTGTGAACCTCCATCATCAGCTGCTGCGGAGACCTGCGCCCCATTGTTGCAGTCGCCCGTGGAACGTAACGCCATATGCACCTCAACCCGTGCTTCCTTCGCACTCCAGGTAATATCTGGCGCATCGACCCGCGCATCATTGGCGCTCCAGGCCTCATTTTTCAGATCTTCTGTGTCTCCAGCTATTCCAGAAGCTTCTTTTTCCCTTTGAATGGCAGGAACCTTGGCACCAAACGAAGAGACCTCCTCAGTCGCAACACACGACCTTTTCCCTCCGTCTTCCAAATCTCCAGGACCACATTCCCGAACGACAGGTACCACATCCACCACTCGATCTTCTGCAGCCGACACAGTTCCGATCTCCACATTGGGAATCTTTTCTTCTGGACCTACCGATTCCACCGCTGCCACACCCTCAGAAAGTGCTCCCATTCCTTCCCGATCCAGATGTTGAGCTCCAGCGATGTCTGTTCGGTTTCCAGGAATCTCCTCCTCATCAGGAGAACCCGAGGTCGGGGCGTCACCACCAGCCCTAGGACCGCTATCCCTGATAGTAGAGGAAAAATCTTTTTCACCTAAACTATTTACACTACCCTGGAATGCCCTCGTAGACTCAGTCTTCGGAGTAGAGGATGAAGAATCCAGTGCCGCCTCCATTTCCAGCTCATTGCCCGAAGGAGACCCAACCACCTCGTCACTCTTCATCTTTTCACCTACCACCGGCAATGTCCACTTGCTTTCCTGCGTATCCAGGCAGTAATAATATTGTCTCCCATCTTCATGGAGGTGCCATTCCCACGTTGTCCCATCGCACGCTTTGATCAGATGCTCGTCTTTCTGAAAACCATCCCTTTCAGAGACCTGTCGCATCTCGTCCTCTTCTTCGGACAACTGTCGCAACCTCTCAGCCTCCATCTGTAGGATCTCCTCCTCCCCCATGGCGTATCCAGCAGCAGGTGCAGCTTCAAAGCTGTCCGCACCCTTCTGTTCATGACCGCTTCCACCACCTTGGGAACTCGAAGATGGACCCCTTTTGATCTTGTTCAGAGGCCTCCGGGCCGCTTGCAGCACTTCTCCAATCAGATCGGTCTGAGACTCTTGGTCTACCATTCGACCCGAAGTCGAAGACGACGGCTGATACCCGTGTTTGTGCAACACTCGTAAAACAGTCACCTCCGTTTCACGATCTATACCACCAGTCGCGTCCCAGTTCCTTTTCTCACCAGGCTTTGGCGATACAGAAACAGCACGTCCTTCAGCTTCAGCATTGCTAACCATATCCCTATTGGGATTCATACCCACATTGGGGCTTTCTGCAACCAAGGCCTCTTCCAGATGTTCTTCAGCGCCGGGAATCACCTCTTCCAACACCGATCTTTCACCCAGAGACTCAGCTGCACCATTTCCAGCTCCACCATCTTGTCCACCATCCGAGGCAAGTTGGAGCCATCGCTTCGGAGAAGGCATTGCTTCTTGATCCCAAAAACCTTGAAAGAACACTTAACCGCAGGGAACCTAATTTGGGCTCATAACCTACGGGGGGACAACCAAGGAAGGAAATCAACTCCCCTAATCGCCCTGAACTTATATTTCCCAGATCGAACCAAGAAACAACCAAGAACACGGATAAGAGCAACAAGGAAGGGGCACCCTTACACAAGTAGAGGGGCACTAACCCAACCCTCACTCCCAAACACGGACTTTTTGCTTTGGACGGACTGGCCATCCTTGAGCCAGACATAGTTTACGGGTTCATTAACCCTTTCAACTTCCAACACTAACTCCTTTCTACAATACCAATTGCAGCTCCGCACCCTAAACCCTTCACCCCAAACCCTAAACCCTAGACCCCAAACCCTATTCTTGTTATTGCTCATAAATAAGACATAAAAACGTGGATCTTTGGGGGGGGGGGGGTAGCTTTCTTTCCTTAGCGCGTTCATCTCATTTTGAGGCTTAAAGGCTTATGGTGATTCGCTTCGCTTCGCGCTTCGCATGTAGGATTTGGGGCCAATTGGCCTCGCTGCACCCCTGGTAGGAGGCGGGATGTTTGCACATCATCTGTGTGACGTCATCGTTTAGCCGCAAAATTTGCTTCCGAGCACAAACAATCTATAGCTCCCGACTCCGCCATTCGAGCAGCACACATATTTCATCAAACCTGCGGCCAACATCATTGCGAGAGCGAAGTCGAGAGCGAAGTCGAGAGCGAAGTCGAGAGCGAAGTCAAAAAGTTGAAAGGAGGAAGCCGGGCAGCACGGAAACGTGCGAAGTCACTGTCCCTCCGATCTCCCACGCTGTGGTGAGAGCTCTAATCAGAACAATATCGGCAAGACCACAAGACACGGCAACCAGTTTCTCCCTTTGCAATTTCCCGATGTGTTGGTTCGGATCCTTGGCGTCTGCAGCAATAGCGTGAATCCTGCCCCGACCTTGGCTGAAGCCGTGTCGCCGTGTCGCCGTGTCTTGAAGCCTGTGGTGGCCTTCTTCTGCCTACCTTGTTTTTGCCGTGAGGTAAGACCCCTCCTGACTGCCATGTCGGGTTTCGGAGAACGACTCAGCCAGCGGCAAAAGGCTGCCCAGAAAGTTCCGGAGCAGGTTTGTGTACCGACAGCCTTCCCGTTCAGGCCTTCAAGAAGGGGGTTGATGCCGATGATGCACGGCGGAAAAGAGAAGATGCTGCAGTGCAGCTTCGCAAGCAGACCAGGGACGAGGCGAGGCGACAGCTGGGAGAGTGGGAGAAGGATCGAATTTGCTTTTGGAGTTCGCAGGCACAATGCGTAGCTGGAATGCGTAGGCTGTGAGCGATTACTGCGTGTGCTTCTGCTGCAGGCGTTGATGAAGAAGCGGATGGTGAATGACATACCTGCCCGGTGTTCAGTCGGACTTGATTTCAGTCTGTGATCCTGTAGCACCCCGCGGGTGCCGACTGAGAAAACGCTGAGTCCGGACAAATGCCTGACCCCATGGCCATGGCACAGATGACGGGCGCGGCCCCCGGAAATCTCCGGAAATCATTTTAAATCTACACATGGTGCGACGAGCGATGTGTGTAAAACTTTTGACCTTGATTTGCCAGGCATGGCCACAGTTCCCAGCAACTGTGCCGTGGAGCAGATCCCAGCCTTAAGCCAGGCGTTGATGTCGGACGACCCACAGGTACGTCAGGGGAGTAAAGTCGGGTTTTGTTCGTGAACATGCCATCGTTTTAGCACATGGCCAATGGGGTGCGTGAGTTGCTGTGCTCTTTGCTCAGGCGCAGTTCAATGCCACCCAGCAGTTTCGGAAGCTGCTCAGCATCGAGCAGAACCCTCCCATCTCGGAGGTTCCGATCTGCCCGCGTGCATCCAAAAATGTGCTCAAAGACTCAAAGGCAGCAAAATGGAGCAATATGCAACGTGGGCAGATGTGGGCAGTTTGGAGCTGCGGGCGCAGGTCATTAGTGCTGGCGTGGTGCCACGCTTCGTGCAGCTGGTGCCTTAGCCCGGCCTAGCGGCCTCGCGGAGCATTGGACGCAGTCAAGAGAGCTCTTTGCTTCGCTCCGCCTTTGCTCCATTCTCAAGGTTCTTGAAGGAGATCAACCGGCCCGACCTGCAGTTCGAAGCTGCCTGGGTGCTCCCATCTGTCGATAATGTTTGCATTTTTTTTGGGGGTGTGCACGAATCCTGTTCGCAGGTGCTGACCAATATCGCCTCGGGGAACGCAGACCAAACCCGCGTGGTTGTAGAGCAGGCCGCTTGACAGTATCGTGTTGACCCCTTGGTGGTGTTGCACTATGTCGCACTGTTTGTGCCAGGGGGCACTTCCGATCTTTGTGCAGCTTTTGCAGGCGCCGGGTGTTGAAGCCTGCAGAGCGGGTTTCTTGCGCGCTCGAGATTCTGCGGCTTGGGCGCGCGAACTCTGCGTGAGCGTTTAGGGTACTGAGGCCAAGGGGGCCCTCAGGTGACGGGATGTGCAGAAGTGGGGAAGTGAAGGGGAAACTTGCGAGAGGTGTGCATCGGTCAAACCCCACAGACCCCAGTCTTTTCATCTCGTGGTTGAGTTCTGGAAGGCCGAAAGTGCTGCGTGCCTATTTTGAAGTGTTCGATGCTGCTATGCCATGGGTGTTCTATGTGTATCATACATATATATATACAGATATATATATATATATATATATATATATGTGTGTGTGTGTGTGTGTGTGTGTCCTGCGCGTGTTCGACGTGCGCTCACGTGCGCTGCGCTGCGCCGTGGTGCCGTCGAGCGCCATGTAGGGCCGTTGCACGCTCTCAAAACACGCTTTGCGAAGATGACTTGCGCGCGTTGGTGCTGTGCCGCGTTTTGTGTTGGGTTGCGCTGCGTGTTGGGCTGTCACATGGCGTTGCGTTGTGTTGTCCATTCAGTCCCCCAACGACGACGTGCGGGAGCAGGCGGTCTGGGTGCGCTCCCGAGTCCCTTTTGCTGCCACAAGAGAGAGGGGGAGGCAGAGGCATGCAGCCGAATATTAGCGCTCCTTTTCCTCCTCTCTGCCCTCTGCCTCTTCCATCTTTCCCCTCTGCCTCTTCTCTCCTCTTCCCTCTTCCTCACTCGCACACTCGCTCACTCGCTCACTCTCGCACTCTCTCTCTCTCTCACTCTCTCTCTCTCTCTCGCTCTCCCTCCCTCTCCTTCTATGATTCTATGAGGAGAGTGAGCTCTGAGGCGCTGGGCAACATCGCAGGCGACTCGCCCAACTTTAGAGACCTGGTGCTGCAGAGCGGAGGCAGGGCTCGCCGGCAAATAGATGCTCCGTGGAATGCTCTCAGACCCACACCCACACCCACACCCACGCCCACGCCCACGCCCACGCCCACGCAAACGCCCACGCCCACGCCCACGCCCACACGCCCACACGCCCACACGCCCACACGCCCACACGCCCACACGCCCACACGCCCACACACACACACCACACACACCACACACACCACACACACCACACACACCACACACACCACACGCACCACACGCACCACACACACCACACGCACCACACGCACCACACACACCACACACACCACACACACCACACACACCACACACACCACACACACCACACACACCACACACACCACACACACCACACACACCACACACACACACACACCACACACACCACACACACCACACACACCACACACACCACACACACACACACACACCACACACACCACACACACCACACACACCACACACACCACACACACCACACACACCACACACCACACACACCACACACACCACACACACCACACACACCACACACACCACACACACCACACACACCACACACACCACACACACCACACACACCACACACACACACACCACACACACCACACACACCACACCCACCACACACACCACACCCACCACACACA